CTCTTCTTATTTATAATTAATGCTTCATAAACATCAATACAATACAAAGTTTTATACACTCTTCTTATTTATAACATGGTATCAAAGCATTTCGATCTCTAGTAAACAATATGGTAGTTTATCGTAGTCACCGCCAGGGATGGCACCATTAGCCCTATCCTTGGCGGTGGCGGTCAACCAACACGCTTCCGTACTCTGCCTCATTTAGAGAAGCCTCGTCTACGGATGCCCCGTATAAGGAAGCCTTGTTGTTTAATGAGATGTCTCGTTCAGAGATACTCAATGTGTCGGATCAGCTCTGTTACCGTGCCACCATGCGTCTCAAGTATTAATCCCACTCTTCCATGTGTTTTCATGGGCACCAGCAGTAATCCCGAACCTCGACGTGTCGGATCAACTCCGTCACCGCGCCACCACGCACCATCAGTGGTCATCATGCACTCACACGCACCTTCAACGTGGTGAATCTTCACAAATTCATTATCCATCAGTTTATAGTAGTTACCACTGGAGATGGCATCGTCAACCTATTCACGCTCTGCATCTACCTCCAAGATTGTCATAGATCCACCCAACGTCACTGTAACGACCCTAAATGATACTAATTATAAAAATAATAATAATAATAATAAAATAAAAATAAAAAATAAAAAATAAAAATTCGGCATGACCTCTGCTAAAAAGGGGCTTACAACAACCTGTTTAGATGCATAAAAAAAAAAAAAAAAATATATGCAACAACCTCACTCGAGCCTTCTAGACTTATCCAACCTGTCCCAACACACAATACAAAATATTATATATATTCCAGCATCCCTTTCCTCCATTCATTATGCCTTAACTTAGTTCATCCCACGGTGGAACAACCACATATCATTTCATTCAAATATCATAATTATTGTCCCAAAATACAAGGTTAAGATCAAATGTCCATACTTTACAACATTTAGACAACTTATATAAAAGTTACAACCCATAGATATAATTACAGTAATAAGAGTCGATAAGTTTTCGTACAAAATACATTATATTAAGTTTTACAAAAAAAAAAATATATAGTGAGACTTAGATACAAAAATAACAAAACGATCATCTAATCCATGCTAGGACTATGGTGGAACGTCATCCGCCACTTCTTTTCCGTGTCCTGAAAAATATTAAATAATAGGGTGAGCAATTTGCTCAGTAGGTGGTGCCTAAGACACACCTCTTTTGACCCCGTGAATCCAAATAATGAATAGGAATAGAGGATAGGGGTCATGCTATGCCGCAAAAGAATACAACATAAATTCCAATTTAAAATAAACAATGCTATGCCATAATATGCAATGTTATGTATGTCGCTCCCCATTTTAAAAATTCAAATCCATTGCTTTTCAAACTGTTAATATAACCCGTCCTTTGGTGAGTCCACAGAGACACGAGAGAAGGATTGGCTACTGTCCCTGACCCTTGGTACCCTCGCGGCGTCATTTGGGGCCCAGCTAGCTCAACCACGCTAAGCTATTTTCCCATAGTTCTCTCTAGGTTACGTTAACACACCGGCCCTTTGGTGACTCCGCAGCGACCGGGTTTTCATAAAACCATTTAATCAAATTTCTCTCAAAAATTCCCTTTCACTTTCATTTCAAAACACTTTGCCCTTTTCATTCATGCCCAATGCTATGAACGTATGTCACATATTTTTATTTATTTATTATTTTTTTTTTTCAATAATATGAGAATAAGAAAAATTCACACTACACAATTTAACATGCTCCTTCATAGCAACTCCTAGAGAATTAATAGATACCGTAGGCATGGAAATTAACATCTAAGCATACTTTTGACATAATTTCTTCAACACATATAAACATAGTCTTCAAATACAACAACTATATCATTTTTCAAGACAATCAATTCAAATAAAGCATGTTTTCCATGTAAATCAACAAATACACATAATTGAATGCTTCATAGACACAATTAAATCATTTAAGAAATAATTAATTCAAATTAATCATGCTTAACAGCAATTAAAGTTGAAAAACTCACAAATTAGCAAGAAAGTAAGTATTAGAGACCCCTACCTCAAATTAAGCCAAAAACCCCTAAATCAAATGCCCTAAATCTCGAAATTCCCAAGTGCACTAAACTAGGAATTGCTCCAATCAACTTATAGGCCTTGCCGTAAGCTTTAATTTGTCGCAAACGGCACTTAAAAATATCAAGAATTAAGAGAGGAATCAAGAATTGAAGCCTTGAAGTGAAAAAAGAAAAAAAGAAAGTTGAGAGTTACAGAGAGACCAGCAGGAGAGATGAGAGAATGGTGAGACCAAACATGGTCTCTTAGCCTTAAGTTTGGTATTGGTGGGTCCCATTTTCTTTTCTTTTTATTTTTCCTTTTTCTTTTGCTTTTAATTTACACCACCCACATACATATACATAACTATATAAAATTCACATAAGGCACATTAAATAAAATGCATGGAATGCAAATGGACCCAACTAAAATCCCTGTGTGCAACAATTCCGGTAGCGGGTTCCACATGGAACCATCCAGCCCGAAAAGCGAAAAAAAATTGCAAAAATGACAACTTTGCATTTCAAAGAGTCATGAACTCAATGAAATGCCCCAATCAATTCTCAGACACAACCGACACATTCCACAATGTCCGGTACGCAAAACGGCAAAAGACGAAAATACCCTCATAATGACAAAAATTTTGAAAAATGAAAAAATGGTGAAAAATGGAAACATCACAGTCACCTGACATGTCAACATTGGTGTAATGTCAGACACATTCTGCAACAGTGCCAGTAGTTGTGCCAAGTCACCTGCCACGTCAATTGCCACGCAACAGGGGTGCCAGCAGTAATGCCACGTCACCTGCCACTTCAGTTGTCATATTATCAACTACGTTAGCATCGGTGTCAGATCAGCTACAATATCAGGGTGAAAGGATTGTCGTCGATCAAACTCAAGACGACTTCATATAACCCACCTTAACTTTGAAGGGGGCTGTTAGAATATATTATTACCATGTATTGTTAGAATATATTCTATAATATTTTGTTACCATGTATAGATTTACCATATAGGGTTTAGATCTATATAATCTTAAATCTCATAAACATCAATACAATACAGAGTTCTATACACTCTTCTTATTTCTAACATGGTATCAGAGTATTTCGATTACTAGTAACAATTTTATCAATTTATCATAGTCACCGCCGGAGATGGCACCTTCAGCCCCATCCCTGGCGATCAACCTTCGGCGATTAACCTTCAAACTTATGCTTCCGCATCCCAACCTTTAGTCTCAAGTTCATAATCAACAAAATCCTTATTTAGTCGCTCAATCAGCCTCCAAGACACATCAACAGCGGTGCCAGTAGTAGTGTGTCACCTGTCACGACTGTTACTATGTCAGACACAGTCAACAGCAGTGCCAGCAGTAGTGCCGCGTCAGTTGCCGTGTCAGACACAGTCAGCAGCGGTGCTAGCAGTAGTGTCACGTCACCTGCCACGTTAGTTTCCATGTTAGACACAGTCAGCAACGGTGCCAGCAGTAGTGCCACATCACCTGCTACATCAACTGTTAATCGTGTCTCCATTTTCATTATGGATGAAAACCCATCTTCACCAAATCGCTTTCGCCATGCCGCTTTCAACATCTTAATTATTTCCAAACTCAAGATGATTTTATTCAATCCACCTTGATTTTGAAGGGGGCTGTTAAAATAACTTTCATGATTTTGCCTTCAATCTCAAGTTGGATTCATAACTCACCTTAAGTTTGAGGGGGACTCTTAGATTACAAGTTTATCCATTTACCTACCATCTAGGTTTATTGCATATTACAAATTACTAAATATGAGTGCACCTACCATATTAGTATATATAAGTTACTTGTTCATTATTCACCTACCCCAAAATCTTTTCATATATATAAGACCTTTATGTAATATCTCATACATCAATACAATACAAAGTTTTATTATATACTCTGTCTTCTTATTTCTAACATATATGGATATCATCCATGTTGATTAATAATTTTAAATATTAATGATATACACATAATTATTCTGATAACAAAATTTTCTTCACTTATCTAGGCTTCTCAACTTTTAATTTAAAAATTTTCCATGTAGCACACTTTATAGTTTTTATCGATATCTTTTTATTTTCTTAAAATGTGAAATTAAAGATTCAAACTCCACCTACTACAAAATGATTGTTATTTGACACAAGAAGTATAAATAAAAAAATTACCTCTACTTTTACTTACCCAAAAAAAAAAGAGAGTATAAATTAAAAAAAAAAACTATATTGACACCTCTTGAGATATCATATGACAAGTACTACGTATATGAAAATATATAGAAAATTGAAATTACCAACTTACCTTTTACTATGTGAAAAGACCTGTAAAACCCTAGTTTTTCATTTCAATTAAAAAAAAATGCCCAACTATAACTTTTATTGGTCATTTAATAACCCTAATGTTTCATTTAAATCCAAAAAATGCCCCACTATAACTTTTATTAGTGCACAATTACACCTTTTCACACCAATGCAACATCCATCAATGATGTTATATATATAATTATAAATAGTTCTCTCTCCCTCTCCCTCTCCCTCTCCCTCTCTCTCTCTCTCTCTCTCTCTCCACAAAAGATAAATTAGTGCTCCAATCATTGTATAGCCCAAATTCAAGCTTTCAGGTGGGACTACAAATCCATACACAAACAATCAATAAAAGACCTCAAATCCAAATTCACACCTGAAATTTGTTTAAATTCAAACAAAATTGTACTAGTGATATTTTTTCACTTTTTAAAATTGATGGTAGGGATTCAAGTCTTCATCTAAGCAAAGTAAGTGGGTGAAATTTTTTTTTTTTCCCAAAGATTGTTACATGCGCGCGCACAAAAAAAAAAAAAAAAAAATGAAAAGTAACTTTCAGGTATCAAGATCGATTCATGCTAAATGTAAACAATTTATTGCAGAGATGTATGAGTACAAACTAGGAAAAAAAAAAAAAACTTTAAAGAAAAAAGCAAAATATATTATAAATTGTGTTGAATTTGGGAAGAAAAGAGTGTGTATTTGTAGACAAAGCCCAAAAGGTTGAAACAGGCCCAAAATGTTGAGACCATGTCCAAGGCCCTTCCTGGGCTTTCAAACGCACCTCTGCAGCAAGTTCCCTCATCATCGTCTTCCTAAACTGTAAAACAAACCCAGAAGACAACGCAGAGGCAGAGCAGGGAAATGGAGCAGCTGGAGAGAAAGAGGAAAGGAAGAGCCAAACCCAAACCTAAAAGGAAGAAGCTCGACACAACGACGTCCTCTTCCATTTCCAGATTTCAACAACCACACCACACCGACAACAATACCATCTTCGCTCTGTTGCTCGCCTCCCTTTCCCATAGCTCACACAAACCCCTCATTAAGACATGCTTAAACCAACTCCGTCTCTCTGTTCTCTCCCAAACCCCAAATCCCAAGCAAACCCTACCCATCCCCATCCTTTCCTTGCTTCCTCTCCTCCTCAATTCCAGGTATATGTATATATGTGTTTGTGTGTGTGTTCATTCACGTGCGCTTACGCCTTTTATTCAATTGAAGATTATGTAACTGTGATAATAGTTAGTTGAATTATGGTTACAGTTGTGATGAAATTGTGTCTGATTGCGCGGAGATTATTGGGGCTGCTTCGATTTCTTCGTTTGAGATGAATGATCAAATTGCTTCGGATGGGGAAACTGTGAAGGGTTTGGTCTATGCGTTAGAGAGTTCGAAGCGGAACGTTTTGCTGGCGGTATGTAATGCTATTTTGGATTTGTCAACCACCTCCATTGGGCGGCAAAACCTGCTTGAATTCTCCGCCATGGAGAGTCTTATGTGAGCATATTAACTCTTGCTCTTCAGTGTTTGTTTGTGTGTGTGTTTGAATAGTTGGTTTAGTATTTGAGTTAAATGGAAATGACTAGTTAGAGTCTTTTTCTTGGGCACCTACTGTTTAGAAATTCTAGCTGAATTTCTTTATTTATATGATTGACCATTAGATTCAATCATTGCAAATACCATTAGATAATTAATTTTAGAGATGTATGAAAGAAAAATGCCAATATTCACTTCAGAATGGACTTCATTATGCACCATGAGCAATATTTTCATATCAAATAGTAATTTGATGCTTTCTGTACATGATTTTCTGAATGTCGGTCTTCTTGATATATATCTAACAATTGTTTGATGTTATGTCAATTGAAAAGTACTGGAACAAACAAGATAAAGATTGTTATCATTTGATTCAGTTTGAATTGGCAACATTCTTACTTGTATTCCTCGTAATTGTCATCAGACCTTTTGACATTACATTCTCCCTTGCCTTTGGTCCCGTAGTTTGACATCCATTAATACCCATTGAACTTAATTTCTGTAACTGTAACTTTCTCTTTTCCAGCAAACAAAGCACACCAAATCTTTAACTGATTTAAAATTTTTTTTTTTTCTTTTCTATTAATTTTTTTTTTTTTTTAAAACATGCATCAAGATAGATTTATTCAAGTTTCGTTGTTATAGTATGAGTACGTTGACACAGTCGAACAGGGCAGATAGTGATTCAAGCATTCTTGGAAAAGGGCACTTAATAATAATAATAATAATAATAATTATAATAATTATTATTATTATTTTAAAATTTTTTTTTTTTACCATAACATGTAGTATATTTTAATCTCTTAGAAATAAAGAAGGCAGGGTTTAATTTTTTTCCCCAGTAACAGTATTTAATATGTTGATAAAGGCAATTGTGAATTTTAGCGGAATAAATTCACATGATAAATTAATAAAGACTTTGAAGTAAATAATAATCAAAAGTGAATTCAAAGTTAATGAAAATATTAAATTTGGATAGAGGTTAAAGAAAACAATAGTTTAGACTTTGGATGTGTTTCCTTTCAAAGACGAAGTGAGGAACTTACTCATAGTTTGAGTGATACATATTATAAACAAATAGAACATAGCTGTGTGAAAGATAAATCCAACCCCCTCACAATTTTCCTTTTTGTCCTGTGAGAGCTTATCTTCTAATTTTGTTAGATGGATTTTCCAAAAATCATTTCGTTATGTTAAATGTCAACTTTTTCTTCAAGTCTGGGATTCTATACATATGTGCTACTTTATTGATAATATAAATTTTGCTCTTGAATAGCTCTGACTTGACATCCACTAGTTTTTGCTTCCTTCAGGCCCCTAAATCTTCAACATTATTGGTTTCTGTATTTACCGATGAAAAAGGAAGTGAAACCTGTCTCAGAATAGGGTTTAAGGAAGACGAGCTTCCAGTATTACTTCTTCATGCTGCAGTTACACTCATTAACACCTGCAAAATTGAGCAACTAGAGACGATACAGAGGAAGGATTCTGAAACTCTATTGGCTTATTTGAAAAATCTGTGGAAAAGAGTACATAAAAAAATAGTACTAGGAACCATTTTGACAGTCACCCAGGGGGGATATTTTTATATAAGCAATATCAGAACAAATGATCTGGCAGAAAGCATTTTCAGGCTCTCTATTACTGCTGGTCAGTGTACCATACATATTGATTTTGAGGTGGTTAAAAGAAGCATATTTGGTTGGGGTGAGTCTAGTTTTGAACATTTTATGTTGAACCACTGGGAAAAATCACCTTTGCTTATAAAGAGGCTCTCACAGTCCTCCACCAAGCAAAATGATATATTCAGTTCTTTTGTACAATCTCTGAACTTTAAAGAGGATGTTCCTTCTTTTCTTCCTTCAATCCTTCAAAATTTTATTTCTTGTGCACCTATTGCTTCAGATGAATTAGACATCCTTAGTTTCTTAAAGGAGGCGAGAAATAATTTAGGTTGTCCTATAATCTACCAGCAGGACATACGGGTACTAAAAACACAGCAGTCAAAAGGAGAGGTGCATTTTTTTCAGGAACGTTCAGACTCTTGCTGCTTCCAGGCTACTCGGTGTCTCTATTTTGATGACATTTTGAGATGTGAAGAAGCATATAAGGAGGGTTACACAGTTGGCCTGCGTGGAGTGGAGTTCCGCTTTGAGACTATTGCTGCTATTGCAGATGAGTTGGCTTCTCTATTTGGTCAACCATCAGCAGGTGCAAATATATACTTGACACCACCAGATTCTCAGGGTTTGGCTCGTCATTATGATGACCACTGTGTGCTTGTATGCCAACTTGTCGGAGTTAAACAATGGACAGTTTTTCCTCAGTTGGGTCTCCGGTTACCTCGCTTGTATGAACCTGTTAAAAATTTTCCTGATTTAGAGGTTGAAAGTTCAACAGTGGATGCATGCAAACGGTTTTCGCTAAAAGAAGGTGATATTTTATATGTTCCCAGAGGTTTCCCTCATGAGGCATGTACCATTGTGGATGATGATGGGTCCAGCAAAACTGCTGGCTTCTCCTTACATCTGACACTTGCTATCGAGGTGGAGCCTCCATTTGAGTAAGTACTTTTGCATTAGTTCTAATTTTGTTTGGTTGAATTCAATGATCATTATATATTGCTGTCCTTGTATCATGAAAGAATACTTTGTCATTTCAAATTTGATTGATGAAAATTGTGTAAATATACTGCCAATTAAAATTTCTTTCTATTATTATTATTATTATTTTTAAATCTACAAAAAACCCAACCTCTTATTATTGATATACAAATAAGACCGCTATTGCACATAATGAGTGATTTTGTGTGAGAACATGACCTTTAAAACTGGTGTTTTCCTGAGGATATTACATGGTTTTGTTGTGGCAACATGACGTTTAAAACTGGTGTTTTTCTGAGGATAGTTAATAACTTTGATAATATTGGTATTATATGGATTTCTTGTATATGCTAAAACAGTACATAAAGTTTTCACTAGACTGAAACAGTACTCTTAAGCTTTCACTAGTATATGTATGTTGAATCATGAACGAGATATAAGTTGTAGTGCTTTGCTCTAGTTGATTAGCTTGATGAGATCCACACTGTCCTATTTAAGCTGTAGTTTTTATCGGTCAAGTCCTGGAGATTATTCAATATATGTTTGCACTTGAATGTTAGCTTTGACTAAAGACTGCCAGGCAATTTTTCCATTGGAAACAACTTTTCTTTGATAGCCTTATAATGCTCTACGGAATTTGGATCGTTGTAGCACATGGGATGGCCCATTGATTACAATCTAAATTGACATTATGGACCACTGATGCTGTCAAGAAGCATAGATCTATGTAATATAAGAACATGGATATTGCAGACACAACTCTCTCTCTCTCTCTCTCTCTCTCTCTCTGTTTGTGCTTGTGCGCATAAACACATGCATGCTACCTTTTATTTTCTCTTGCTTTATTGTTTCTCCTTTGATTTTTTTCATCAATTCCTTGTTGTCCTTTCCATTTTCATCATAGTTCCATTATTTAGTCAAAGGAAATCCCCAGTGAAAGGCTAGTCCTGGTATTTTAAATTTTTGACGTTCCCTTTCTTTCTCTCTCTCTCTCAATTTCTTTTCATGCTTCATCTTGGATTTTTCAAATGGATTCCTTTTAGAGGCTGGCATATTTCTTACTGATTGGAAAGCTTTTGTTCTGAAAACAGAAAGCGGAACAAAGCATGTGGACTGGCTCATACTTGTCGTGAAATTATATAATATGGACATGTCGGCTTATAAGACATGAACACAAGGTTTTGGGCCAGTGTGTTCCTGAGAAAGCTGATTTGTGGACTTGTCTCTGAAATATATGTGATGATAATAAATCAGTTCCTATTATCATTAAGATCATATATTTTGATGAAATGCTGAAGTAGTTTGGAGCCAATTAAAAGTTATACTAATTGTGTCATAAGGTGATGATACCCTTATCGACATCTATTAGTACTCTCTCTAAAAATGTTTTCTTGTACATGGGAGTAAAGCAGTGAAGTACAGTCAAGTGTGTTTGACAATGTGCATTTCTATAAAGTTTGGGTAGACAAGTAAGAGAATATAGGTTTTAGTCTCATAGCAGCCACTTGTGTAAGATTATACCAACAATTATGTTTCTCCCCAGTCTTCCCCTCCCAGTATCCCGCATAAGTGGGACATACATAGGGTTTATCAAAAGAAAGAATTTGTGAAAGGAAATGGGCAAAAATTACATGTTATTTCCCCTTAAAATATTTAAGGTTTTGACATTGATTTCAAACATGGTCGAGAGTGAAATGGTATCTTGAAACTCTGTGGAATATTTGTTTATTTAACTTTGAAATGCATAAAATTTTAAATAGATAAAAGCAAATTAAAGTTGAGGAATGGGGGTTTATTTAAAATAATAATAAATCTTGATGGTGCTAGTAGACTTGATTTACCATATGCTCATTGAGATGAGTCAGTTGATATGCAGGTGGGAGGGATTTGCTCATGTTGCACTTCATCATTGGGATCATAAGCAGAAGCAATCTAGTGATGCATCTAGTGATGCTCTCTCTTGGAATCTGAATGTTATGTCTGTGAACCTACTGCATGTTGCGATCAAGCTAATTGGTGACTATGATCCTACATTCCGAAAGGCGTGCTTGGTTGCTTCAACTTCATTGTCTTCAGATACCGAAGGCTGGCTTGATCTGAACCAGAGAACAATTTTCAGCCAGTTGATTAGTAGAATTAATACTGAGTCAAGGTTCTCAGATACGATCAGGAGTATAGAAATGGCTGTTCAGAAACATGAAGATCCCTTGCAACAAATAAAATGGCTCCAGCATCTCGATAACAATGGAGAAACTATCGACAGACAGGATTGGAGGAGTCCTTCAGTAGGAACTGAGAGTTTTCTCCTACTGTGTGACCAGCACAAAGATGAGGCAGAAGCTGCATTCATGCGGGTTAAATCTAAATTCTGCAGTGAGGTTGTATTTGAGGATGTAGAACAGAGCTACAGAATGCTGCTTGAGAAGTACAAGAAGACCAGAAAGCAATATATGAGTGGTATGCTCGCACTGCATTGTAATTGAAAAATTATTTGGGGAGACATATCGTCATTACCAAGTATAGAGGGCACAAAATCCAAGGGGCAGCAGGTACCATGCAAATGGCTGAAAATTTTCTAAAATCTTCCCCAAGGAGACATATGCATTAGGTGTGTTAGTGATACTGGATACATATGCGTATTCATCATTGCCTCAAGAGATTTGCTGCTTCAGACAGTTAGTTTGACCTCTTAGGTATGTTATGCATCACCTAAGACCTGAATTCACAAATACTTAACTATGTTTGTTATTTCATCATTGTTGTTATTGTTTATCATATTATTGCCAATGTGAACAGTAGACTGACACTAAAAAAAGAAAGTTACTAGTGTAGAAATCAACCCAAAACTATCTTCACTCAAAATATGATCAAACAAGACATGATTACATATGTTGATTTTATTATCTAGTGATTCTGGATACATATGCGCATTCCTTGCATTGGGTAACGTTATGGTACTGTGTTGTTAAGGATGCTTGGGAATTGGAGTTGGATGAGTTGTCACTCCGTGATAATCAATGTTGTAAAGTAGCTCCTCTGCATCTTCCTCTCTCTGATGTTCGATTGCCAGTGAACCTTCTAGGTTTATGGATTTCTTTCTCTCTCCATTAACCTGCATTTATGGTACCAGTAGAACTTTGAGACCTGAAACAATAATTCTAGATAGAAAACTAAGCTAAAGCTGCCATTCAGAAGTGTTGAATCCAGGTAGATAGCTTTCACAAGGAGTAATACAAGGTATAATATTGATGGCTACTTGCTTTTAGGAAATCTCCCACAGGGAAAGAAAAAAATAAAAGAAAATAAAATTGTAAGTTACCATTTTATGACCCACCTTGATTTTCTGCGATTCATCGTGATGGTTGGAGGATGACATGGTCAATTTTCTCGACGATTGCCTTCCTGGGTTAAATGTCAGGGGAGAATAGGAGCTAGTACTTTGGGAAAGGAAATAGAAAGTGGCTGCTAGTAAGCAGAAGAAAATGATGTTTGAGGATCTCATTATTAATGGTTGAAGTGGAAGCTTCCTATCCTTGAGGGAACTTGAGTGGAGTAACAAATAAATAGAGGCTTATTTCAATGCAAGTCTGCGAATGTGAGAATTTGTTTTTGTGTGTGCGTGTGTGTGTGTGTGTGTGTGTGAGAGAGAGAGAGAGAGAGTAAATAATTGATGAAGGGGTCGGGGAAACATGTCTCGGCCCATGCTTATTATTCTGCTGCAGTTTATGCCAATGAGATGATACAAGACCTGTCCACAGTCCTGAAGACTCCGTCCCTACTGATTTTTCTAAGATTTCTCAATAGAGGTAGAATTCTTCTTCTTCTAGAAATAAATTCGCGTGTATGTTTCATATTAAACAGAACCACCCATGGGTGATGTAACAGCCCGTGTTCTGTCCTCATCAATGAACCCTAAATAGGTCACATCACCAATTGTTTGATGCTCTCTTTGTGTGTGTGTATATGTGTGTTATGTGCTGTGGCCTTTTCTTAGTATAGTTTGCTTCTATCCGGCATATGATACATGGTGCCACAGTTATCATTACCATTAGGAAATTTTCTTCCTAGGTTGTTATTTAGATTCTTTACTGCTAAGGTTACCAAGCATTATTATTTTTCAGCCATGATGAGTCATTGAGCTAACGTTAAGTTTAAGTAGCAACGTTACTCTTCGTGGTTGTCTTTAAGTTTCAGAGTCCACTAGAACTGATCATGATAGACTTGCAACTTCTTCAGCCATGACAGGCATAGCTAGAAGATGCTACTTCCAACTAGCACTGAGCCTAGGAATACTCCACGGTGTATACGGTGCATGAAATTAGTCTTGGAATTAGAATTGGTAGAATTAGAGAAAAACAATTCCATGCAGCCGAACATAACCAACATTCTTTTTGGACAACTTAAACTTAATTTCTTTATCCCGACGAAGCTAAACTTGAGTCCACACCTTAAGCTTCTATAGCAGTGGCATTTTAACATAACTTCGAGCATGTAAGACCAAGCAATTAAAGAACCCGAATCCTCTCCCGTGCCATTTCATCCCGTGTTGCTTGATATTTTATTTTTTATTTTTTATTTTTTATTTTTTATGCGGTAACTATTTTATAGTGTTACATCATGCTATACAGGACCATGACACTATGGAGGGGATCCGGATTTTTAGTTAGGGTTAATTACACTCACACTCTCGAAGGTTTACACTATTGACAGTCAGATGAAAGTTAGCCTCTTTTTGAATACTCACACCCCCTATCAGAAATTGTAGCCAAACAACCCCTAAAAAGATGTAAAATGACACTATTGCCCTTCAATAAAATAATAATTCTTAATCTAAAATATCAGAGTATTTAAATGACCAAAATACCCCTCAGCAGTATTAAATTGCAGCCAAACAAATCCTCACCCTCACCTACCACTACCGCCTCCCAAAACTCGGCCACCACTACCGCCACTTCTCAAAACTCCTATACACCTTCACCACAATGGCCACTACCACCTCTCCTGCCATGGCCACCTTGTGAAACTGCCGCCTTAATCGTAACAAATCGTCGTTCTTGTCAGTGTTGAAGACGAGTAACAAACGCGTATGAGCCAGATCAGTCAGTTCAGATTGAGTTGAATTTCGGCGCCGGAGGTTTCAGAACGTCGTCGTCATCTAAGGGAAGGGGATGGAACTGTTGGGTTGGATCACCCTTTTTCCGCTCCCAACCTTTGTCGGAAGGGGCATCACGCACCCCCACTCATCGTCAATGCGCATTGAGTTGCACCTACCTATGTACCTTCATCTTCTTCCCAATAAACCCAAAACGCAACCAATAGCCCACGTCATCATCTTCTTTACGGGCGTAGTCATAATATTGTTGCAGCGCAAGCAGTGTGATTCACAGTCGACATTATTCCCGGGCATAGTCAATTGCCACCGCCCCTCTCCATTTCCACCACCACCACTGCCATCCAAACACTTCCACCGGAAGACCACAAAAACTCAAATAATTTATTAGGAATGGCAATTAGTGTTGGCGTGTCGTGTTCGTGTCGACACGATTACGACACGGACATGATTAGGGTTGACACGAACACGACACAATTATTAATCGTGTCTAAGACTCTTGACACGAATACGACACGATTATTATACGTGTAACACGACACGACACACATAACCTGTTTAATAAATGGGTTAAGACTTAACACGACACGAAAATACACATTTAAGTCATTTTTGACACGAATACGACATATTTTGCTAAATGGGTCATTTTTGACACGAACACGACACGATTATCTGACACGTTTAGTTAATCGGGTTAATCGTGTCATAATCATGTTTACAGGGTCAAATACGAACACGACATGTTTAATTAGCGGGTCAATCCATGTCGACATGATTATGACACGAACACGATTAGCCCAAACCCTAACTCGCTTATCTCGTGTCATGTTCGTATCGTGTTAGCGTGTCGTGTCAAATATTGCCACCCTTATAATTTATACTCAACCGCACCGTCAAACCCAAACAAACCCGACAACACACTGCTACCACCATCACCAATTGCTGATCTACATATATAGAGAAACACACGTACCCAATTCCACCAAAATTTCAGAGACCTTTGACTTGGTATAATTTGTTGTATATATATATGTGTGTGTGTGTGTGTGTGTGCGCGCGCGCGTGTGTGTCTATGCAATTTATTTTTGTATGTTGTATGTGGATTTGGACTTGATTAAGTTGGATTTGGTGATGGATGTATATGGGTGGTGGTGGCAGCTGTGGAGTGGCGGCGGCGGCGGTGGTGTCTGTGATATGAAGGTTTGAAGGTCTATATCACCCCACATTTTTCACACATTTTTTGGCATTTAAGGGTGGTTTGGTCCAATAAAATGAGTTGGAAAGGTTAAACATTGTAATTCCATGGTCAAAATAGGTTAATTATCAAGTCAAAGAGGCAGTAATGTTAATTCACTATGTGTTAGATGTGGGAGGGGTGTCTTTGTTGACTTTATCAAACCTAAGGGGTGATCATTATTCAAAAAGAAGTCAACTTTCATTTGACTGTAAATAGGGTAAACTTCAAGGGGTGTGAGTGTAATTAACCCTTTAATTAAAAGTCAAAAAAGTCTAGTGGTCAAAACAGTTAAAGTGGTATTTTAGATCTTCAAATAAAATAGGCAGCTGTCCAATATATCTAATCTCGACGGTAAGGGGCACGCCTACCATGGCCCTCCGGAAACAATAATGTATGAACAAAATCATGGATTTGATTCTTCTTGTTCTCAGCATTCGTGACAAACAAGCTTAGATTGAACATAATGGAACATGTTGGACACTTTTACTACCACCAAGGAGACTGTTTTAAAATAACAGGTGCTTCATTAAAAAAAAATAATAATAACATGGACATTACCGTTCACACATTCAAAACAAATTTTGAGATGTGGCTGTAGAAAAAATTAATTTTTGAAGTAAAAAAATTGAATAATTTTATAAATATAGAGCAAAAACTGAAGAACACGAGATGAGTCTGAGAGTGGAAGCTTTTGTATTACTACTTTATTTTGGGATACCCCTTTCATCACAATACACACACATATATATAGGTAGTTTTTTTTTTTTTTTTTTTTTTTTGCACATTTAACTATTCTTTTCTTCCATCTCTTGTTCACAATCCCCGCCCACACAGACCCAAATTATACATTTCACTTCTTACATAACCCATATAATTGGTACAAAGTATTAAATGTGTGGACCCACATCAACTTTTATAATAAATAACACATAATTTTATATATGATTATTTTTCTGTCATTTTTGAATGGATTTTTGAAATTTTATATATCCTCAAAGATTATGGTAATACTAGGTAAGTGCCAAAACTACCGACAATATGCAGAAAATCTTTTTATCAATCTTAAATGGCACAATGTGATACTGAAAGTGTTACGGTTTAAGAGATTATGCCAATGATAACTGTTACTTTATTTATTTATTAATAAATATATCCTTCCAGTGTTTGTGACCTCTTCTCTTTTGCATTCAAAATAATTGATATCCAGTGAAGATTGTGGGAATATAGGTTACATGGAGGGATATAAAGAGGGCACATTCATAGCCACCAAAATAAAATAGAAACCAGTTTGCTCTTATGCTTAGAACAAAATCTTGCAAGAAATTACCGGGGAAAAAAAAATCTTTCAAGATCAAAAGCAAAATATTTTCTCATTTGATTTTTTTTCTATTTATTCTTCTTATTTGTTAAATTTTCTTCCCTTTGCT